TCTGGTTCTTTAGGCCACTTCCACAACCTCTCTCAAGATATCTGTCTATGTATAAATGCAGAGAGTGAGTGAGAGAGAGAAAGAAGTAGCAGTCATCAGTATTACGTAAGCTCACAAGATCTTTGGAGATGTTTTATTTTATTTATATTAATTTTAGTAATTAATTTTAAAACTAATTATTTTAAGGTTTTATTTTAATCCTTTTAATTTTCAAATGTCTATATTTCTGTGTCTCTCATGAGCCGACCAAATACAGGCAGTTTCTGAGTTACGAATGAGTTTTGTTCCTGAGAAAAATGGAAATTCATCTTTAAGTTGAATGTGTATGTAAGTCAGATGTATAGTTGGTCCTCCACGTTCATAGGGGTTAGTGGTGTAGGATCTCCATAAAGGTGGAAAATTGAATACCACAACCCCCACCCACCAAAACTTGCTAGTGCCTCCTCTTTGCAGCAAAGAAATGCCAGAGAAATTTCCCTCTCTGGGTGGCCAGGGCAGGAAGCCATGATTTGGAGGCCTCCCTGTCTACCATTTCACTTCCACTCTATCTATGGTTATGACAATTTTCTGCGCTAATTTTTAAAAATTAATTGGCTTTATGGCAGTTCATAAGTATGGGTTGTTTGTAACTTGGAGACTGCATGTACATGCAAACACTTGCCTTAAGTTGAATGGTTCAGTTTTGCTTCTGTACGCTGTTAGAGGGTGTTCGCTGTTAGAGGGAATATAAGCAGCAATGTGCCACTGAATGCCATGTACTAACACAAACTGTGGGGTAATGTTGTGCTCTGATAGCAGACTTTCTAGAAGCCTCTGGTTGTCTATAACAATGCTGGATGGGCTGAAGCTGTTGGCCTAGTTCAGACTTCACACTAAGCCACAGTGGGTTGCTACTGGAGATGGTTTCAGGGTGGCTTAGTGAGAGGTCTGAAGCTGAAGTGGTTTTCCATTGGGAGTTGTTTATTGGAAATGAGCCACCCTGAAAACACATGGCTTGTAATTGAGTTCTTTAGGGTGGTTGATTCTCAGGGTCAGTTTTTGTCTTTCAACTCTGGCAAGATGATTTTATTGGGATTTATGAGAAAGAGCTAGGGAGCCAACCAGTAAAAGCAGCAAAATCCTATGCCACACCTCACAATCTTGCTAGTGGAGCATAGGAATAGGTGTCATAAGTACAGGTTAGGGGACTTGTGGCTGGAGAGCAGCACTTGTGAAAGGGATCTCGGGGCACTGGTTGACTGTAGGCTGGAGCTAGGGGTCAGACTAGATGGCCCAGGAGACCCCTTCTGACTTGTTCTCTTTCTATGTTTAGTGCCTCTGCCTTTTTCACTCATTTCTTTCTTAGTGTTCTCTGCTTCAGGATGGATTTCTAATTCTGTTTTTGAAAGAAATATGAAAGAAAAGACACTGGGGACAATCTAAAATGCATTCGCGATAGTTTGTTTTTTGGTCTTGCACAAGAGTGAATGCCACTGTTAGGACATTTGTGCATTTGTCCTGGCAGTTTTACTGCTCTCCCTTAAAATTTGCACAAGTTTCTTTTTCCTATTTCTGTTCTGCCATTATGTTTGCATAATTTCCCTCTTAGTTTTACAACTCTACCTTGAAAGTTGCAGTTTTCACTTCCAGTTTACTCTTTTTCTGTGACATTTGCAGACATTTAGCTCTCTTACTCACTGCTTTGTAACCTTCATTTACATCTGACAGTGCGCAATAGAGACCATTGGAGAGATGGAAACACTGCCCTATGAGGAGAGACTGAGAGAACTGGGCATGCTCAGCCTTGAGAAGAGAAGACTGAGGGGGGACGTGGTATTCCTTTATAAGTACCTCAAAGGCTGGCACAAAGAGGAAGGTCAAGATCTCTTCTCACTGATACCAGAGTGTAGGACACAGAATAGTCAAGTCCAGTTGCGACAACCCAGGTTCATGCTGGACATCAGGAAAAGCTTCCGCACTGTCAGAGCAATACAGCAGTGGAACCTGTTGCCTAGAGAGGTGGCGGGCTCTCCCAACGTAGAGACATTCAGAAAGAAACTGGACAGCCCTCTGAGTGGGGTGGTGTAAATTGGTGTCCTGCAACAGCAGGGGGTGGGACCTGATGGCCTTCATGGCTCCTTCCAACTCTACTGTTGGATGATTCTATGAGATCTGCAAGCACAAAAAGGTGGGAGCAGCCAAAAGCATCTGACAGCTGCAGAGGCAGGTGTCATTACTTAGAGGCAGGTGTCATTACTTCAACAGACATGAAGCGGCCTTTTAAAAAGATGCACTCACTAGCAAAGAAAGTGCCAAAGTGGAGGATAAAGTGGACAGGGACATTGCCAAGAAAATGGATATTGGTGTTCTTGACTAAGTAGTGGGCAGGACTTCCCCCACCCCCACATTCAGTTGTGTTCAGAAGGGCTCAGAATATTATTTGTATTTTGTGATCTGATAATGTGGGGGAAGTTTGGCTTGGAACATGCATAAGTGAAGGATGAAGCTGATAAAGATATTAAGAAGAAGATAATATGGCTGTCCTGGGCTCAATGGAAGACAGGTGGTCTTGCAGTCTTGCGCAAGAACCCTTTCAAAATGGCACAGGAGCTTAAATCTTAAATTTAGTGATCTGATGTTGGAGGGTGGGGAGCTTCCCTTGTGAGCTGTCAACCCCAACCAACCAGTTGAGAAAGGGTGCTGACATAGGAAATGATTTCTTCCTCATGCTGTCTGTGCGTCATGTATCTAAGCTCCGCACCTGCACAAAGCCTTCCTTTCGAAAGTTGTTATGGCTTTAGGAATTTTTGGTGGAAACCCTCCCCCATTGTCTTTTTCGGCGTCCATCTGTTTCCTCATTTCCTCTTTGGCCACCATTGTAGTTGCCTTCTGAGGAGTTTCTACCATCTTTTAAGACTCTTGTTTGCTGAGGCTGCCTTGTTTTTGCACACTTTTCTTATGTGCTACTGTTCTTCTATCTTGCTGTTGTTTCTTTCATTTCTTTTGTTTGTAGTTGCCGATCATGTGAACTCCATTGAGGGGTACAGTCTTCAAGACTCCATTTCACACACCTGTAAAATGTGGCAGAAAACCTTCTCCACTCTGTTTTGTTTTGTCTTGGCAAGGGCTATGCTTGTGGGCACCTGGCCACATTGCTATGCCATTTCCAAACAGGCCAAACGGGTCCAGCAGGCTCCATGCAAACCCCATGGAGGAAGGCCTTGGAAAGGCAGAAGAAGCAACATAATTGGGCCATCTACGTCAATGGCCTTCTGATTCCTGGAAGATCTTTGGCAATTTCTACAGTGAAGAAAGGGCTTCCATACCCAGGTTGATCTCCCAAAAGGGGGAGAAACCCAATGAGATGTCATGGTTCATCAAGCTGTCAATACTTGTCCATTCTGATACTGGTCTCACCAGTTCAAGCCTTAGCTTACATACCAGCACATGATTCCATACCAATAGGGTTTCTCTCAGAAGGTAAAATGTGAGACGTGAATTCACCTTGAGAGCAAGAACCCATGAGAACCCCTTTCCCCTTTCAGGATTTCTGCATCTCTCACCAGCAAGGATGTCAGCTTTGGGATAAGTGGACAGCAGTGGCCCTAGGTATGTCCACCATGACTTTTCCTGCTCCCCATGTTCAGATTGGGATGAATAATTCCTGCTACCTCATCAAGCCTGTTGTTGGGATGCTTGGACCTGCAGCCATTCCTTATAAACATTGCACATACTGAATGGATGTTTCCGCACAGTACTGTCCAGACCACTGGCTTCTCAGGCCAGTGGGTGCTCATCCTTGCCCTCCAGTGCAGGATGACTTTGAACCACTGTCAGCACCAATGCATAGGGCTGCCATCAGATGCCACCCAGACCTGCTGTACCACTTCATGCAAATTTGCCCTTAGTCAGCTTTAGTTGGATTCTTTTCTTTTATGTCTTTTTGTTTCATGACACATTAAGAAGATCTGGATCTTCTTAAAGAAGCAGTATTGGTCACAATTCAGAGAAACAGAATTGTGCTTCTGGTGCTGGTGGGATATTTCTTTTATAATATCATACTTTAGAATTTGATTTTTTGAGAATGACTTTCAAAATGCAAACTATTGGATGTATAAAAATAAACAAATAGGTACACCACTGAGTTCTGTTGGGGTTCTTGCTGATAGAAAACAGAGCATAATCAAATAGATTCCTGTGGAAATTTGAACAAACCATTCCATAGAATGGTGGTGGTAGTTATGCTAATGGAAACATTTGGGGTAATGCGGGGATGCATATATGAACAGTACCAGGGCTCCTGCTTTTTTGCTTGGGAAACTATAGGGTTTGTGGTCTCAACCTGGTGCATTGCTACGGTTGTTTGAAATGAGAGGCTGTTCCTGTGGAGAGGTGCGGGCAATCTATAGGCATAAAATTGCTCCCAAGATACATTAAGAACCATCATTAGTTTATTTGGAGATGGTGCCTAAGAAAAGCATATCAGTTTCAAGACTTCTTTGCGTTACTGCATTTCAGTGAATTTACATATTTGGATAAGCCCTAGATCCCTAGAAAATGCTAGACCCATTTTTATTTTTATTTTTTGGAGTCATTGATTGCTCAAAAGACCACAGTGTAAATAAGTGATTAGATTTGCATATGGTCCATAAAAACAACTGACGATTTCCTAGGGCAAAGATTTTGATTTGAAGATGGTCTTTAACATTTTCTAATAATTTCCTGTGGTCATTTAAAAATAAACTACATATTACATTGATAATTTGATATATTTAACTCTAATATGTTCCATTTATTGCTGTATTTTTCCTTCAGTTATTTGTTTTAAATCTTACCAACTTTTGAAGTGTTGAAGTCACCCACAACAATTATACAACATTTTACCAATTTTCATCCAAAGCTGGGTATAGCTAATTACACATATTTCAGAAAGCACCAGTGCTTGGGTACAGATGCTTGCTTGCATAAGGAATTTTGCTGTATTGCCCTTAATTCTATATTTTCTTTTTGTATTTTTATAGGTGACTGAGCTGGAGTGTGTTAGTAGTCAAGCAAATGCAGTCCACACTCATAAAACAGAATTAAACCAGACTATTCAAGAATTAGAAGCCACATTGAAGAAAAAAGAAGAGGTACTTGTTTTAGATGATTGTAATAAAGTATCCTTGAATTTATACAGCTTATAATGCTAATCTTGAAACGGCAGTAGAAAATGGGATGATCTTTATGGGTAATAAGAATTTGTGTTTTGGCCTAGGACTGATGGTAATATCAACCATTTTATTAAAGTAAGGTAAACTTGTATCAAAAGAGAGGGCTTCACAGGGATGGGGAAAAGCTAATGGCTTTTCCTCCTCAGCCCAGCCCCCAGTGCTAAAGTTAGACTTTTCAAAATGCTTCCCTTGGCACTACTGCAGAGGATCTTTAAAACATAGTTTTGTCCAGGTGTGTAACAAACAGTCTAGAAATACTAATCCTAAGAAGGAAGTTGACCAGGAAGAAATTTGCAACGAGAGCTGAAATTTGGTACAGAATTGCAGCTTGGTCTCCTGAATAACCTGCTAAAAGTTCCAAACAATCCTACAGGCTTCCTACAGGAACTTTTTCTAAGCCCAGGTAATGTGGCAGAGAAGTCTGAAGAGTTAACGCAAAATCTGGGGAGATTTGGAGCTATCTTGAGACTTGTTACTTTTGCAAAACTCAGAATTCCATTAGCAAACTGCTGTGTCCCCCTTGATTCTCAGTGGCCTCGTTTTGACTACAATCCTGATAGTCCTGTGATTGATTTAGTGCCAATTGGCAGCAGAGGTCAAAATTAGCATTCAGTGAATGTTACCTTTTGACTGCAGCTAGAGTGGTCTGGCAAAAGCTTGGAAAATGCAGGTGCTCCATCAGTAATGGTAGAATTACAAAAATCTGGTGCATACTTATTAGCCTATTGTGTAGGGAAGTATGATGGAAGGCTAAATGACAATACATTGGTTGAAAAATGTGCCTTATTCTGAAGTTTTAGAATGACAACATCCATAATAACTCATCTTTAAATATTCTTTTTGTTTATGGAAAATTGAGAATAACTAGATATTAATAAAATGCATTCAGATTTGTGCAAGAGTGCACTTTTATTTCAAAAAAGCAGCAGATTCACTATGTTATTTTTAGAAATGTGAAAGCACGCTAACAAATAGACTTCAACCTGTTTCAAAAAGATTACATTTATACACTGGTTTTAAGTACCTGAAAAGTCTAGTGTGTTTGGATTAAAGGTACTTTCTCTAGAGATTATGACTGGCAGAATGACCCCATCAGTATGGGGCCATGCATTGGTGGGAAGTTCAAAAGCATCTTTGCCTGTTTCTAGCAAAGCACACTCACTTTCCAGAGAGTGAGAAGTAGGTAGGAATTGCCTTTTCAGATCACCTCTATCATCCTGGAAGTATATTATTCTCTTTCTGTCAGTAATTGGCACCAGATGTTGCAGAGGAAAGTTCAAGATAGTGCACTACAGTTCTGAAATAACATGCCGTCAGGAAAGTCACTTCTTAACCACCTAAATGGTTCAATTTTATTCCACTAAGAAATGTTGTGGCATTTACTACTTCCATGAATATGTTTTAAATTCTGGAATCCTTGCTGTTGTATCTCCAGTGATGTTTTACTACTTTGAATACTACCTAGTGAATCATTTATAAATGTCCATGCTTCACCTATTTCCCTGGGCACATGAGACATTCTGTAAAATAACGATATTGGTATCATGCTTGAAATTTATTTATTTATTTTCCTATACCACCCAATAGCCAGAGCTCTCTGAGTGGTTTACAGCAGATTATTTCAACACTGCTTTGTGGCTTGTTTTCTGTGCCATTCATAGTTGCATCCTCTGGCTTTTTCACGCCATAAAATAATTGGTTATTCAAAGTCCCTGCTAAACGTGTGTTTTAAGTATGTTGAAGCTCAAGGCTGGTGAAATGCCTGTAAGGGTGCTGCATTAAGTGGGGAGGATGCAGTCTGGCTCCCCGCCCCCCCCGCATCACGCAGGTATTTCTTACAGCATTGGTCGTGTTAAACCACATCTTGGGTGCACTGACATAGTATTCTGTGCTTACATGTGATGCGGAAAATCGAAATAACTTTTCTTTAAATTAAAGAGCAAATCTTGTTTGCTAACTTACAATGAGATTAAACCCACTGTGACATTTCTTCCCTGCACTAAATCAGATGTACAGACATTGACATACATTCCTTACCCCAGTTGAATTGTGCAGCATGCACAACTCCTTGTTTGCAGAGGAATAAATTAGAGGAGTTGCCAGCTCCAGGTCTGAATGTTTCAGTAACCAGTCATTCAGTGTTAGCACTGACATAATAAAGTTGATTTGTCCAAGATGAACAAGAGAGCCATTGCCAAGGCAAGTCAGGGGGATGGCTACTAAGAAGAGGGCCTTTTTGGTTGTGGCACCACAATTTTAGAAAGAACTTCCCAGGGAGGCTCACCTCTCCACCTACAATGCACTCTTTGCAGAACCATGTGAAGCCCTTATCTTTCCAGGAATTATCCCAGGAATCTTAGATTCCATCTGTTTTAAATTCTGTATTGTATTTTAAATCTTTGTATTATTGCTAGATTTTACTCTAACTTTCATTTTTATTTTATACTATAGTCTTAACTATTTGAAATTTATATGGTATTTTATACAGTACGTTATGCTTTAAATTGTTGTGAACCACCCAGAGAGCTTCAGCTATTCACAGTATAAAATGAAATAAATAAGTAAGTAAATAAATGTTCATATCTGCTTTAAGGTCAGTTGGGGTAATATGCTGTATTATTTCCCCTTAGGAAATAGAAAAATTGAGACAGGAAATCGATAATGCTAGAGAGCTTCAGGCCCAGAGGGACTCTTTAACTCAGAAGCTACAAGTAAGTAATGGGGCGGGGCCATCCAGTATGGAAGTATAGACAGTATGGACACTGTAAATGCTTAATGGGTGGGGGGAAGCTTTGTCATACTAAAAGGAAGAAACATTTAATAATGAAGATACACTGCCTGGTGCTGGAGAGACCATGGTGCAGACTCCTCAAGAGTGTCACTAATGTCTAAACAGTCCTTAGGAGTGGAATTGTAGGAGTGGTATCATTGGGTCATCTGTGTCAGAGTAATGCTGCTCAGATTTATATGAATAAGTTGGAAGAACTATGAAACCCTAAAAAGCAAACAAGTGCAGTTCATATAAGAAGGCCAAAAGGGGTCTGAAAATGAGCAAAACATTAGAGTTGAATATGTAGAAAGTTGCATATCTTAGGACAGAACCTATCTGCAGATAGCGTTCCCAGCTTTGTACAGATGGCTCAGTGAGTGTTCAGTAGACCTCATGGCTCTGACACTCCCCTCTCACCCATGTGCAAGTCTTCTCCTTCAGCCAGTGAGCCTATTTTCAGAGCGAGGGCCTGGCTTCACTGGACACCATGAAGGCCAGCTCATACTGAGGGCCTGGAGCAGGTCACGTTTGACTAAAGCAAAGCTGGTGTCAGGCTTCTCAAAGAGACAGGAAATGCCGCCCCATGAAGGATGTTGGGGCTGGCAGACTGGGAAGTGGCTGTATGCTGTGTCAAGAGGCAGCAAATAATGACTGAAGCTTAGGAAAGCTTTTGGCCTTGTTTAGACTGGTGAAGGTGGATAGTAATAGCGGATCTGTCAACAAGGGAGGCAGAGTTATGGAGACTTTTATGCCCAGTGTACTCAGTGTTGGTTGAAGGCTGTTCATTTTGATGTTATGTGCCGTCAAGTTGTTTCCAATTTATGGCAATCCCATGAATGAAAGCCCTCCAAAGTCTCCTGTCTTTGACAACCCTGCTCAGTTCTTATAAATTCAGGCTGTGGCTTCCAACCTGCTAAAATACTGAAATTTTCCTCAAAGCTTGAGCTACATTTTATATTGCATCTCCAGGCCAGACAACCAAACTTGGACAGGGTAGCTAGAATGAGCAGTCACTATGTAAATAATACTTCTTTTACTTATCAGTTGCAATTTATGGTAGCACTTCCAGTGCTGGTAGCTTTTGGTGTTTCAGTCTTTAGCAAATTGTTACAGGCACTGATGTATTTCACCTTGTCAAATGAGCAAGTGTGTTGGTTCCTTATTACCTTTAGAGTTATCACAAATGCCTGGTCAAATTAGTTGGTAATATACAGTATGATCATTAATCTGTACAAATGATGTCACAGTCTGTTATTGGCTAGATGGTACTGCATGCATTTTTTCTGACATGGGACCTTTCAGTGGATATGTGCCCTTGCAGAACTTTAAAACAGGTTCATAAGTAAGTGGAACATAAGCATCCTTTGCAAAACATTGTTGAGAAGACAGTATTTTCTATGTGAGGGAAGAAATTAAGTAGAAAAGAATCAATATGTTAAAGGCCAACCATCCTGTTACGCATCATCTGAACCCAAATACTGTCAAAAGCAGTTTTGCTTTTCAAACAACCTATAATAGGATGTTTTTCAAATGATTGAAATAAGGGTTTGCTGAGATAAATAGGAGGTAGGGTATAAGAAATGGTATTGAGAGGGTGGTCCCCACATATCTGGCCTTTATTTTCATCTTAATTTTACCAGGAGCAGTGCCAAAAGAACCTTCTGTCGATATATTGGTAGGCACGATATAGGATCCATGGTCTTTTCTTCCTATCCAAGCCATTTAAACTGTAAGCCTTGCTTCTCATGTATGTGGCAGGAATCATCATCTAGCGCTTGACAAATATGCATAATATAATTGCATGCTGGAAAAGCTCCGTTTGGGTCCCACTCTGCAACACAGCTTGCATAATGATTACTCTGAGCCCACATTAACAGTACAGAAAAGTGTACTGCTATATTTACAAATAACACATATTGCATATCTTTCTTAAAGGAAGTGGAAGTTCGAAACAAAGACCTAGAAGGACAACTGTCTGATCTAGAACAACGTCTGGAGAAAAGTCAGAATGAACAAGAAGCTTTTCGCAATAACTTGAAAACACTTTTAGAAATTCTTGATGGCAAAATCTTTGAACTAACAGAACTCCGAGATAACCTGGCCAAGCTAATAGAATGCAGCTAGAGAAAATGGGATCTCAGTGCCAACTTTCTTAAAGATGCGCTGTCTCTCTTCATAGGACTTTGTTGGGCTCTGCATCAAAGTTGCACAAAATTAGGAATATGTTCCTCCAGGAGGGCCTGTTTTAAATTTTCAACAATATATTTCAGTGTAAAATTTTAGAATTCAACTTGTAGCTAGTTGGAAAAAAAATAACTTGAATTACAAATTACCTCCTTGTACATAATTGGCCATAGATAACTCGAAAGATATTAACAGTAATTGAATGCAATCCTTTTCTAATTATTAGCCAGTGAAATAATAAGAAGTGCCCCAAATGACATCCCTGTTAGTGTTAGACACAAATGTAGACGATCTGTTTTATTTTACTTTGTTGGTTAAGGTTGCAATCCTGTGCATGTTTGGGCAAGAGGATGGCCTTCAACTCCCAGCTTGCCCAACCATCCATGAAGGCTGGGAAATGCTGGAAGTTGTAGGACTTCTTTCTGTCAAAACATACACAGTTACATAATTGCAGTGTTTTGTGCAAGAACTTTATGATGACAGCCCTGTCTTTTGTTATAATCTTAATAATTTCTCAGGATATTTTGCACTGTTAAGAAGCAGTGCATTACCAATTAATTCTTGCCAGGAGTGAGAGAGAGTTGCATCTTTAATTCAAACCTAATGAATAACTGCTTGGGTAGAGTTCTTCCCTTTTTTATACTGGAAGATACTGTATTTATTTATGATGTTCACTCTGGTGTTCTATAATATTGTCCAGTGTATGGTTTACTTTTCCCTATTTAAGTCCATGTATGTAGAAGTTCTGTATTCCATTTTGTTGCATATTTTGAAGCCAATCTGTGAAGGCAGGTGGAGTTTCTTCAAAAGTATTTTAAAATTTACTATGTAGAGATAAAAAGTATAAGGCTCAATTTAGTCTTATTAACCATTGCATAGGTTTAATATTTGCTGTTACCAAATTAGGTTTTAATAATTTAGCAAGAACTCTCGATGTTCTGGAACAACAACGATTTGCAGGGCATTCTCTGTATGTTGTTCTTGCTCAGTCATTTTTTAAAACACTGTGTAATCATGGGAAACTGACACCAAGCATTTTTTATTCTGTTGGGTCTTCACATCACCTTATCAAAAACCACACCAGGCAATATTCTGAACTTCAAAACAGGAATTGAATTCAGTTATCCTCAGTGAACATGTTTTTAAGTTGTTTTGATGTAATTTACAAAAGACTTTTGCCAAACATGTATTTCTTTATATAATATTTTTTATTTTAAAGAAAAAAAATGAAAAGTAAGCCAAGTGTCACATGTCTGCTTACTGAATGGGAACTGCATTATGGGACAGTCTTGCTGTAAATTGTCTAATATTGGAGAGGATTTTAAAATATGAATGAGAAGAATCAGACACAAGATGCACTGACCTTTTATTTACATCCAAATTAATTTGAATGTTAAATACAAAATCCAGCTTGAATATAAACTCTGTACAATAGATAATATTTCCACTTAAGGACTGCTATTCAAAACTAGATAATATAAGTCGGGTTTTTTATGTGTGTACTGTATGTATATACTGTATAATACACGCATTCTAATTTGTATTCGAAGTGGGAGAGATACATGGTTTAATTTATAAAATGCGATTTCCTTTATCTGTAATTTAACAGGTGTCTGCTGAAATAGCAGGAGTACCATTTAACTAAACCCTAAATTATCATGTATTATACTGTATGTACTGTACACATCATTTAAGTTTCATCCATATTTTAGAGTATTTTATCACTGATTTTATTTATTATTAGGGAAAATATTTGTTCACTGCATTCATTGGTAAAAGCTTTCTATGGTGATTTTTTTTAAAGACTTAATAGCTAGATGTTGATGATGTGTAACTTTATCAGGTCCAGGATAGTAGTGATTACCTGATTTTAATTTACCTGGAGAAGTTTGTACCTGATTCTCTTGCCATATGAGTGTCAACTGGGAACATCTTCAGCAAAATATAAAATTGGTGTAATTGTGGAGGAATGCAAAATGATTTAGCTGGGTGTTCCTAATTATGACAAGTTAGAACAGAGAATGATGGCAAAAAATGTAACATTATTTTTAATGAGATCAAAATTTTTAATACAATGACATTTACATGTGGGAAAATAGTTTACAAGATATTTCCACTTAAATGCTGTGTATATGTGTGGTACAAGAAATTTCTTTGTATATGTACACACACATATGTATATGCAGTATATGGAAAAATTTAAATGTGCACATTTTTAATATTTTCCTATTGAAATTAAATTTAAAAATTGGAAATCAATATTTGAGAATTTCTTTTCTCATGTATATTAAGATGCTTGACTTTGGGTTCCTTTGTTTATAAAAATAAAATCTATGAGGGCTGCACCATTGAATTCCCCAAAAGTCATCTAACATATATATGGGATCAGGTGGACTTAAGTGCACATATAAATAAAGTCCTGTTAAGAATCTTTTAATGGTCATTTACAGAAGGCAGATGTTTAGAAACTGTATTCTAGAAACTATATTCTGAAGTTCCTGATTAGGTGGTTATACCTACTATAGCCTCTACACTTCTGTATGATTAAGAAAATAATTGACATATTAGAAACAGTGATTTTTTTCCCCAGGAACAGGTATTACTTATTGTATCTTAAAAGAAACTGAGGGAATATATATGCCAGAAATTAATGTTGGGTATCATAGGAAAAAAGTAAACAAGAACTTACACAGAAGAACAATCACATTGTGTATAACTTGTTATATGACAACTATGGAGTCTTGTTAAAATCAACTCTTTTAAAACCCAACAAAATACAATTTTTATTTTGAAATACAATTGCTGTTCCAGAGAATGTATTTTATTCTTTTTTTCTTCTTCTTGAACTCTTTTTAAGTATTATAAACTGTTCAGTGGATGACAGTATATACCTTAATCCTTCAGGTGCTACCAGATTTTTAATTAGAATGTCATGTTGTGAAATTCTGACTTTGACATAAAAAGGTTTTATAAGTAGACCCCTGTCTGGAAGTTGGTTATTGGAGCCTTTTTACTCCAGAATGTTCTAGCAGCTTAATTCTTCTACTGTCTACCCTAGAATTACTTATACCTGAACACAATGAAGCAAATGAAGATAGTAGTCGACAGCAGCGCTATTCTATGCATGTTTACTCTGAATCAAGTTCTACTGTGTCTGACAGGGTTTACTACCTATTATGTTTAGAATTGCAGCTTTAGCAAGCAAGGTAGAACAGGACAGTCTTAAATTAGCTGGTCAGGGCTCTGAGAAATCCATTGCACAGGTGGAGTGCAATGTGGTTAATTTTCTGACTGCATCTGTGTGAGATTTATGGAGATCATAAATATAGGATTGGATTCAGAGTGGCCTTTACATTAATGGAAGAGCATTTACATTTGTGGAAGGAACTGAAATCCAGTGGAAATTCCCACTGGAGGTAGGAAGATGAACGGAAGCCATTTTTACTGCTTCTAGCCATGCCCTCTCCCATGCTATTTCAGAGGGTCTCCCAATCCTCCAGAGCATGTTTTCAGGGCAAACAAGAGAAGAAAGGATTTACAAATATCATATTTAGCCTTCCACCAGTGGGAATATGAGTGGCATTGTCTTCACGGGTACTCTGGATCCAAGTTAAAAATTATACTTTAAATTTTTATATAAAATAATACATAATATTTTGCTTTAAATGAATAAGACTGTGGTTCTGTGGACACTTGCATAGCTTCAATGAATTTCGTGTGCATTACTTCCCATTTAACATGCAAAGGAGTGTACTATAATTTACCATTCTTAACTCAGTTGCTAGCCATCTCTCTACGAACTCGTAGTTCTTTTGGGATAACATATACATTGTGTCAAAATTGCAGTATTATTGAAGAGTGTCAACTACAGATTGGCAGTTGGAGGATATAGCCAGAGAGCTGTGTGCAAAATCTTGGGTCAAAATATTGCCACTCTCTGAAACTTGGTAACAACCTGATGGTAAGCAGCTCTTTAATCTGGGTATCCTATTTGGTTGTTTTAACTGTGCCAGATAGGGTTAATTAAATATTGACAGTCATAGCCAAATTGTAATTGCTGCAACAGCACAAAGAACTTGCAATTTGCTTTTATAGGAGGAAAAACGAAACTTTGTGCAACTTTCTGAAGTGCAGAAGTGGCCATGGAATAAAAGAAGCAAGATGCAAATGATTGTCCTGGCTTGCAACTGCTTTTGCTATCAGCTGAAACTTCTAAAACTGGAAGAAGCTACCAAGAGTCCAGTGATTTATGCAAATTAACGAATGTATGTTCTTGTGTAATTTAGATGGGTGTGTTTAATCTTATATGCATGGAAAAGCAAGCAGACCTAGGAAGTATACAAATGAGACTTGAAGCAAGATGTACTTGTTTTCAGAGCTTCAGGCATGTGGCCATTCCCTCTTCCAGATGCTCCGCTCCATTCTACTCCATTCTCTCATTTTGCCCTTTACTTCAGTCCTCTATCCTACATGCCCTCCCCTCAGCATTTCATAACCCATCCTAGTTGGGCTGTTGTTTTATTTCCTCCTTCTCTTAAGGTTATTTTTCTAGACATGTTATTTAGTTCCAGAGATTTGGTGTTTGCCCAAGTTTGCTTACACTTCCCCTTCAGGCATAAAGCAAAGCATTTGGCTAGATTAGAATCACACTTGGAAAATGAGTTTGTTGTTAGCATGTACGAAGAAACTGTAAAAGTATTTTCTTGGCGTGACCCTCCTGTGTAATTCCAACAGATTCAGAGGATTAAGATCAACAGGAACTGACTCTAGAGCTTCACTATGACATACGTTTTCCTGTTGCTTTTCTAAATATTTTAAGGGGTACACTTGGTTTTCATTAAAGTAGCAGTACTGTTCATTACTGGATAATGTGCAGTCATTACTGCTGGTAAGGGCATTATTCCATATACCAAATCTTGGCATATAGAGATTGCACAAGTAAAAAAAAAAAACTTGCGTGAAACACTTTTAACACTTCACAGCACTATACAGAAATATTTTAAAGTTGCTGTGACATTGTATGACATTAAGGCAGCAATCTTCTACTTGCTGAAAAGTGTGGAACTTTATTTCTAAGGAGACATTTATAGACTTGTTTTGTAAGCCTGTCTTCACATGTGGCAGTCTTTTATTTTATTTTATTTTATTTTAGACATGCAAAATAGTACCCCACCATTCTTTTAATAAAAATCATTTGATTTTGATACTTTGCCTTAAATGATAATTCTTATCAGTCTAAGCCAGCACAGGCAATGCTAGTACTGATACGAGCGGAGAGTCCAAATCATCAGAAAGGCATCAGTTTGGGGAAGGCTGGATGGCTGCACCATCCAGATTGTTGCCCCAAAAGTTGGAGAAAGCAAATATAAACCAACAACCAAAATCTATTTTCTGTAGCATTTCAAGGTACATGCAATTCTTTCTCTGCCAGAAAGCATCAGCCACTTCAGGAAGTAGTAAAGAGGTAACAGAATGTGGCCAGAAGAGTCCTTACTGTTGAAAGAAGGCATGAACTTAAGAGGTAGGTATTTCTTTTTTAATGTGAAGGATGAACATAGTCCAAGAAATATTCACGTTTTAACCTTTTTATCTGAATGTTTAATTGAAGAATTTTTTAAGTTAAATGACACCTTGACAAAGCTAAAGCATGAACAGCTTTTCATTAGCCTTCTCTGTAGGCTGGTAGCATCCATGACTTGCACTGCTTTATATAGGAGATGCTATTGTCATAATTGGGATGACTCAAGAAAAAAATGAAAGAGGATGTACCTCAAAAATGCCAAAAACCCTCGCAAAAAAGCAGTTGGCGTATATAGATCTTCTGAACAAAATTATCCCCAAAAAATGTAATCAATGGTTGATTTTTGTACCTTTCCCCTTCAAAACTCTCATAATTTCTTTCCTCAAGCATATGCCCATGACAAGTAGCTCCACTTGTTCTTCTAAAGCTTAATAGTACTTTTAAGTTCACACAACTGACCAAGACCAGTTCTCAGAAATCTCGTGTAAATGGATATGATATTGCAGGTATGCTTTACATCTTCACAGCTGGATTCTGTGGGCAGCCTGGCCTAGTTCTTTCTTGCATGGTGAAATGACAAGCTAGGAACCACAATTATACTGGCTCCAGTGAAAATATCTTCTGTCCAGAGTTCAGCCCATGAGCTTATTGAAGGTAGGTAGGGACTGCTGGGGCAGAATATAGCCTTACAAATATTACACTTGGAAAAAGGAGCAGCCCAAGTCTTTTAAACAAATGCAATTATTTCTAACAAATGAAAGCAACTATGGTCAAATAAATATCCTTTATTAAAGAAAACAAAATAAGAATTTTAAGCACCAAAAATTTAAAATATGTTGTTACACTGCATGAACAAAGACGCATCATTTGGGACTTTGGGTACAGGTTTGAATTTGGAGCCATGATAGGTAAAAAAGGAAGCAGGACAAAGCAATACGGTAAAGTTGCAAAAACTGCACTACAGAAGGAGAAAACAAAAGGCCCAAGCACTTAAAACTTCTAGTTTTTAGAATATTGCTAAAAATGCTCATTATCTTGCTTAATACTTTAGAACACTGAGCATTTTAAAAGTATTGCAAGTTCGCTGGAGCATTTTAGAAATGTAATGTTAACTTACAATGTTTATTTAATACAGTTCTGTTAAAGAAGTGTACTGATTTTTATTCTTTGCACTAAGTTAGTGAACAGTGGATCAGTTTTCCCTTTGTTTCAACTTTTGAAAATATGGAGTATTTAACATTTAACAAGTTTTACCCATGCAGCATAATCAATAGCCTTTTGCATTTCAGTAAATACGTTAACATACTTTCCTCTCACAATTCATTTAGGACACCATCCAGCACCCTCTGATTCAGATGCAGGTAAGCCTTGTGTGTGTCCAGTGAAACACTGGACTACAATTACATGGCAATTGTAATCTCTGCTGCCAAGCCTCACAGCATTTATTTTATCTAGCCAGCTGTGTATTTTTGGCTACCTAGATTAAGTGCCAGGAGCAGGAGAGAAAAGGACACTAAAGTGCCAACAGAAGTTGGCATAAACCATTGGCCCAAGCTTCCTCTCCTCCCATGCTCCAACATGCCCCTTTTCTCCCACACCAAGGCAGGGTGCATCTCAGAGACACAGCCCGCCATTTTTTTCCACACCAGTTGTTTCGTAGGCCAGGATGCTCCAGGGCAAAATAAGAATCCTATGCTTCCCCATCAATGGCAGCAGTCCATAGGATTGTGCCCTAAGTAACATGTCAAGTAGGCTATAGTCACAGGAACGATAAGACAAAGGACCAGAGATTGTGGGAGGTCAGTCACTGCTTTTAAAGTGAGGTAGAAACAAACAGAAGGGGTGGGGATTGGATTGGGCTCATGGTGCTGGAGGGAGTTTGTTTTGTTTTTTAACCCTTACTCCATGAACCATTTTAAATCCTACCCACTCATCCTTTGAATGTACTGACTGCACACAGGGAAAACATAGAGGTACCTTTAAGTTTTCCCTGGTGAAGATCTAACATTTTCAAGAGATGATTTAAATCAGGAAAGTAGAGTGGGTTGGGAAGAGGATTACCAGATATGCAGCGTGGGTCCAAGTCCTATTTAGAAATCTTTATGGATGCTTTTACCATTTAAAGAAATAACCCAAAGAGATCTGCGAATAGATCTCCTAATGGCTTATCTTGTTTTGCCTACTTCAGGGACTGTGGGTGGCACAGTGGGTTAAACTGCTGAGCTGCTGGATTGGTTGATGGAAAGGTCGACAGTTCGAATCCGCACAACAGGGTGAGCTCCCGTTGCTCTGTCCCAGCTCCTGCCAACCTTGCAGTTTGAAAGCATATAAAATGCAAGTAGATAAATACGTACCACTTCAGTGGGAAGGTAACAGCGTTCCATGCACCTCGGTGTTTAGTCATACTGGGCACATGACCATGGAAACTGTGAACAAAACACAGCTCCCTCGGCTAGGAAATGGAGATAAGCACTGCCCCTAAGAGTCAGACATGACTGGACCTTAATGTCAGGGGAATCCTTTACCTTTACCTACCTATTTCAGGTGTGTTAACACAGCATAAGAGGAATTCCTAAACAGTACCATTTCAGCATGAATGCAATGGACTGAATGTTTTGAACACTCCTCCTGTAAAGATTTTTAAACTAGAAACTAGCTAGCCCTAGCTTTCCATCTGCAAAGAAAACATAGTTTTCACAACTAGACTTTAGAAGAATAGAGAAGGTATTTTTGCACATTGAATTAACCCTGAAAGTGATACCTAGATAGCGCAGAAAGGGCAGGAGGAATAGAATGGAATGGGAAATTCCTTACTTCTAAATTCATGTGGGAGGCTGGGGGCGGGGGGCAAGTGGGCAATAAACACCAACCCCTAAACTTGGATTTACAAAACATGATGATACATTTTGTTACCATTGTTTTAAAGTGAAAAGTATTGGTAATCAAAGAGCACATCTATGGGGGATTTCTTTTTAATGATTTTGAAGCAATTATTAATTTTGAGAACTAATGGCTGCATAGTCATGTGTGGGAATTATCACTCTTCTTCGTGTGGACTGAGTGCTCACAATTAACACTATGGGGTTTGGGAACAAACCCCCCAGAGGCACATACCCAAATATCCAAAAGTGCCTGCACCACTTCAGCCTGCCATCGCTCATGGCACTGCATACTCTGTAAAGCTGGCAAATCCCTACAGTGCTGCAGTTCTCAGGACTGTAGGCAAAGTAACTCTGACACACCTCTCCCGTCTCTTTATTGCAGGCAAATGTTGCTGCACAAAGAACCAAATGTTTTGGATCAATCTGATAGCTAATCATAGTTTCAAAGAGCCAGTAAGGGTTACATCTCTGACACACAGAAATGAAAGTAGGTGTGTCCTTTCTGTACCTGTTTAGGATGTAGAAGACTGAGGGGTGTTTCTAGAAACCTGCCTGCTTATCCATGACACTCCTGCTGTGCCCAAGCACAAATTGCATATTAGAAAGACACACTGCACCAAGTGTGGATATAATGTTATATCATGACCCCAGGGACTTTTAGCTTAAGCTTACCACAGTTTCTTCTGTGCAATACAGGCACTGTGATTATTTTAAACTCATATGCCCTCCTTTGATACTCACCAGGCTCTCTACTTCTCCCAATTTTGTTTCTGCAGTTTATTTTTTTAAGCTAAAAACTTTTTTTTTTAAACTGGAAAGCTGGTTTGCTGCAAAGTGAAGTGTTTTTCATTCCAGTGCCATTTTTGGTTTGGTTCATCAAATTCAGGCTCTGCTGCTGCTTGGTAATTAGGTTCTTTGGCAAGTTTCTTTCTTTCAGCTTCACCAGTTTGCTTTCTGGGAAATTAGTGTTTTTTTATTGGTTATGCCAACTCACACCATACTCAACTTTCCAAATGTACCCACCTAGTCAATACTATAGGGGATACCTGGTTTAAACTGTGACTTATTAAAATACGCCAGGACCAAAGGCCACAAAACTTATTTCAGTAGTTCCATCCTTGATGGAATCTAAGCAAGGATGGCACTAATCTGTGGCTCTTCAGATTAGCAATGTATGAGGAATCTGGTTTGGGGAGTGGGAATCTGTCAGATTTCCTCAGCTCAGCTCCTTGGACTCTGTAGTCCTTTTTCTCTCTGCCCTAACCCCGCAAGTTCATGAGCTTGCCCACACACTGCCCACATACCTACTATGCAGGTAGATTTCTGCTTCTGTGCAAGACCTGCAGGTTTTGTGTACTTTGCTCAAAGAAGCTGCTAGCATTCCTGGCCATGATCTGAGCTCACTTCCTAGCCAGGGCTGAGCATGGGAAAATCTGCTAAGCACAAGAGAGCCAGAATCTGGCCCGATCTTCGCATTCCTGCTCCAGATTCTGACAACTCCCATCAGCCACACCCAGCACAGCCCATAGTAGGAGTGAAGGGAATTGCAGTCAACATCTGCAAGGTCACACATTCCCTATCTTTGCTTTAAACAAGTAGTTTGATCTATGTTTGTGCATAACCAACTGTGTTTTTACCCCAGAAAGTGAATGCTTCCAGTCTCCTTACAGCCATGCTAATGGAAAAGGGAACATGGGGACTAAATTATAGTTTATTACTATGGCAAAACTGTGCCATGATCTCTATTAGTGCTACATTTTAAGGAAATAATTAATCTTACTGTGGAATATACTACAGGCCAGCAAAACTGTATGATTGCTACTGGTGAATGTACTTGCAGACACTTGGTAAGAAGCAAACAGGGCAATCCCACATTTATTTGAACACAAAATCTACCTGGTTCAGATAGGCAGAATCAGTTCAGTTTATTTTCTCACAGTCACATTGGGATGGGATTATTTGAATTTACAGCCCACTCTTCATCTCACTTGGGCTACAAGATCAAACACAAACTATTTCCAAAAATAGGCCCTTAGTTATTTACTTCACCAGAGATAAATGAAAACCTGTATTAGAGAATGGAAAATAAAAACTGGCACCCAGGCCTGGAGTTTTTGTTTACATCGTTGATATTTTGAAGTTCAAATCTAGGAATTCCAAGTGAATTACCTTAACCGACATATAAGGCTGTGAAATCATGAGAAAACAGATTTGCAAAAAATATTGGAATAAAATCCTTTTCATTACAATATGATTTTATGTAGCAGTTAACAAGTATACTTTATTGGAAGCTTTAAAATTAGTTATATTCATAGGAGAAAAACTAACTTGTGCTGTATTTTTCAAACCATTATTCAGAACAAACCAATATGCTTTCCTCTATTAAAGAACATTTATCAATAAATGTCCCAATCCAGGAAACTTATGAACTCAGCAAAAACCCTATATGTTCATTGCTATGCTCCAAAGTGTCACTTGGCTTCAGACATGATTAAACCTGCTACAGAAGCAGGATGCTATTTTGGATCTAGGTGTGTATTCTTACAAAGATTGCTGTCACTGGATTGGTGTTAATATTGATAGCAAACTATTACATTTAGTAACCCATAGCATTTTAAATTTCCACATGCTTTCAGCAATGTGCTTTCATCTCTTGCAATAAGCATCTCTTTGCAGTAAGCCTGTTTGCTTTTATCAGTTTACCAACACTAGACATATCTTGCTTCATGCTTCTGAGATCACTATGATTAACACAGGTAATCAAAATACAAAAGCATTACACTGAAAATAAAATAGGCTCATCAAATAGCCTCAATTTACAATTCACTCTTTAAAGTCAGTGCAAATGAAAATAACATATTGACAATTAGTGAAAGTTTCAACTTTCCACAGGACTGCTTCACAAAAATGCACCAATATTTTGAAGACAGAGTCTACATACGTAAGACAAAGCACAAGACCAAAGTCTCCTTATGGTGAAATAGATTCTTACCCTATATCCCTGCGAAATGTAATTTACTGGTGTTAATTTGTTACTGTGTTTGTAGATTTTATGACAGAAACTATTCTGTTTTGAAACGCTTAACAAGCAAATGGTTTCAACAAGAAGCAAAACTATGCTAAAGAATGGCATTCACTATACAAATAACCAAGCAATTGAAATTAAAAAGTCCTGGAAATGTTCTGTAGAACAGGAGTCCCAAATTGTTTTGGACCTGAAGGCGTATTTAGGAATTTGAGAAACTGTTGTGGGAACCACCACAACATTGCTCCCAGAAAGGAGGTGGCTAATCCCATAATAGCTGCCATGGGGGCCTGGCCAGGCAAAGGGAGAGGGGCATATAACCAAGTCTTAGAGCAGGAGAGGTAAGGATAAGCAGCAAGGGAGAAGGAGGGGGAGGGGGAGGGCGAGGGGTGGGGAAGGGAGGAAGTGTGGCTAAGGGCTAGGAGAAGGGAGAAACAGTGAGCTGTGCAAGGGGAGAAGTAAGCCTAAGAACGGAATGAAAGAGTAAAATAAAGATTGAGTGAGGGAGAAAGAGCAAGACTGGGGTTAGGAAGGAAGAGAAAGAAGGCCCAGGAATGGGGACCCATGTTGTAGACGATGAAACCACTTCACAATCAGTGTTTCTGTACTTCAACAATCTCTCTCTAGCAGGAAACTAAATCTGATCTCAGCGTCTTGGATCCCTGCTACAATATTCCCAACCACAAAACTTATTACCCAGCATTTGTTGTTCTGTGAGAAAGTCCATTACCAATATCCTATATCTGGGATATATTAACATCATTTCTTGACACATACAATGCATTGTGGACAAGATATTAAATAAAAATAGTGACTAGCAATGTGGAATAAATGCAATCACATTTGGCAGCCTGCAGCATAAAAATACTGAAATGCATTTTTCATGCATACTTGTCAACTGCATAGATTTGAGCTTGACCCATTTCAAACAGCATTCACTTCTTAAATACCTACATATTTTCTAAACCTTCTGTGAGAAATCGCAAGCCTGAGGACTGATTTCTCAGCCAACTGAGTGATTTCACAAGTAGTAGTCTAAGCAATAAAAGTAGGAATCACTGTTAGTCCAAAGGTTTAGGAATTATAAGGAAGTCTACTTGGAAGAATGGACAGGATGCTAACTCAGAAAAAACTGAAATGCTGGCCAGTCATTAATGGCAGTGAGCTTAACCTCTTTTTTCCTAACAGATTATGAAAAAAATAAAAGGAAAATTATGGTATGAGATCAACCACTGTGCAGCTGCCAGTGTATATAAAGTAAGTTCCTATGGACTAACAATTTTTACAGACCCAAGCCAGTTTCAGAGTCTAGTAATAATTTAGCTGTCATAGGGGTTTTAAAAAAACCTGGAGTTTTCAAAACAAGATCTCAGATATCTAAAGCCTGAACACTGCGCAATTATATAGAGTGCTTCATAAATTTCTCGTATAAATTTAAAATGTGTAGATGCAAAACAGTGCAAAGGCAAGGAGCGTTAGCTCTAGTTTTAAGCAAATTATGTCTCCTTGCTTATATGGTCTGTTAGTATTTTACATAAACTGCCCAGTGGAATGTGTTGCTTGAAGCCCCTGCTGCAACCGATTGTGCAAAGCTTTATGTGATCCACGTCATACTAATTTTAGATGTTCAACTTTTGTGCTAAAAATCCAAACACATATTATATAGTGGTAATTTGGAGTGTAGGTGGCTAAACAGCAAAGGCACACCAACTATGTACATTATGGTTTATGCTAAAGGTTAACAGATAAATTTTGCAGCCATTGAATTATTGCCACTGAACCCTGCATTATCTGGGATTACCACACATTGTATAATGCAACTTTGGTTAACATGCATAAAAAGAAACTTGGGTTGTCAGTTTTTCAGCAAAACTAATGTCTGATGCATAATAGTACTAATGTTCTCTTTCTCACCAACAGAAGGCGCTCCAGTACTAACTGAACTCGCACTCTTCTCAAGCTTACTTTGGAAAAGGACATTATTGTAGACTATATAAGGCAATAAGCTTAAGAAAAAGTACACCTGCCGAGTACAGAAGACCCATTAAAGTATGTAATGATATTACTATGGTTATTGGCCAGGGTCATTCCTCTTGTGGGCCCAAGTATGTGCAAGAGTTCACGTGGGCTAAGTTACATAATTTTTCTCAAGTATTCTGGGTACTCCCAACTATTTTTAAAAGGAGAAAAGGAAAAGATATTGAAAAGTACATGGAATTACTGTGAGCATTCAATAACCTTCCAATATATATAAAGTTCATAGAGGCTACTTTTAACAGGACAGTAAAAGTATACAGTACATTGTTTCAAAATGGGTTTGCTTGTTTTTTCTAACCTAAGATAAGGGATCATGATTGCTCAAGTACAGTAAACATGAAATTGTATTTAAAAATAAGAAGCTGGCCAAGCTCAAGGTTCTCCTATAAACAGAGATTCTTCATCAGAGTTTTAATAAAGGTAAGATTAGCCCTGGTGCGGAAATACTGCTCAGTTCTTTGTTGTTATAAAACAAGCTGCCTGCAGCTATTAGTCACGCTGTTTGGGATTACACTGCTTTAGATATTCACTGTACTGAAATATGTGCCTCGTTTACACCATTATACAGCCAGGGTTAAAAAGAAGTGTACTTTTGAACAAGCAGGCTGTTACATAGTTTTAATTTCTCTAACAGTGAATGGGAATAATGAAAACTGAAAAAATACGATAACTTCCAAAATGTAAAACTAAAAGCTTACTTCAGTTTTGCATTCTCCTTAAATAAAGCTCCTTAGAGTAATCAAAGAATAGTTAAACTAATTGACAAAAATAATTTTAAGTCTTTCATTACAAAATATTGTTTCTATAAATAAAATTTTATGTAATTTTAATATAACTCAGTCCTGCAATTAACATGTTACTATTCATAAGAGTATGGAAAAGTCTAATTTAAAAATATAAGATGTACACAGTATACATGACCCTGTAATGGGTTATGCTATATACCATTTTAAATGTACTATGGTGTAAACAAATACATTCTTAAATACAAGTATTCCACTCTTAGGGTGCCTTCGTTAGTCTTGATGGTAATTTCTTCTCATTTTCACACTAATTTGTACTTTGAACAGTTAAGAAATGCTCTTTATCTTTGATATCCACCTCTCGTATGAAAAATATGGTGAGAAATAAGGAGTTTTATGTGAATTCCTGCTGTTGTATAAGAAGTTGTTGTGAAGTAGCAACTGGATTTTTTTAAACAGTCAAGTCTTCCGTGATGCAAAGGCCAGATTTCATACCTGACCTGGTTATGCTGGGAAGTTTTGTTGCAATAGCTGCTTAGTGCTTCACACAATTGTAAAAAGTGAGTGAAAAACCAGAAAATATCACTCACCTCAGAATAATGCAAATGCAAATCTAAATCAGATAGCTTTTGGTCCAACCAGAATCTTCTATAATGAATTAAAAATATGCTTTTTTAAGCTCTTCTGCACACATTGAATCATTTGTCAGAGTAAGCCTTAACCAGGCTGAAAGTGATGATCAAACCGTTGACTATACATGTTCAGAAGTGAAAGGAAAACCATATTCTCTGAAATTCTTACACCTGTTTAAACAAAAACAATCACAGCTGAAAAAAATGGCAAAATTGCTTTTTAACTCAAATTCTATCATCTAGGACTGTATAAAAATTTGCCAACCTTTGAGTCACCTATTCTTGCCCCCACTCTGATCCATTCGCTTTCCTGTAGTAGCTGTTACTGGCAGCTTTGAGGCTCTGCCAACCAGATTAATTTGTAGCACTAGTAAAAGAGATGAGCATGTGGCTAGGGATCAGGAAACGAAGGACACGTAACTGAAGATGACTTTGCCCTCCCACCACAACCCAGTTGCTTCTTCTGGCATACAGTTGCAGCAATTAAATATTAGTTGATTCAAATCGATCAACCATATTAAAATACAGTGAAAATCAATTGTTCTGAAGCAAGACACTTTGTTTTTAGATGATTCTTGCACTGCAGACATTATTGTCTTAGGAAAAGTATTCCATTTATAGAATAGAAGTGGGGATAATGTCTGCATTTCTGTTTTTATCAGAGGCATCTTTTTAGCCAATTTTAGTTAAATTAGGGCTGCAGTGTTAATCAGTTAACAAATCAAACTCATTTAATAGTAGAAAAAACAAATTCAATCACAATTACACTCCAATATATTTTGAAGTACCATGACAGAGGGAGTAAGACCTCACTATCTAGTAATTATCATGGATGCCAATGTTCTTTAAAAACAAAAAAACAAACAAACTTGTTGCATAGCTCATATTTTGCAGTTTCATAATTAAAATCCAAGTCTCATGTTATGCTAGAGTCTCAAGATGAGTTACTTGACACACACAGTTTAAATCTATCACTTATGGTGGGATTCTGTTTTTGAGTGACCATCTTGTTGCCTATACAGTATAGGAACAACACCTCTGGGACATAAATTTATGAACACTCATCTTTCCCCCACCCACTATTACAGACAGCTATGTAAATATATTTTACCATGAGGTCAATCCTTTACTGCACATAACTGTTGAGGAAGAACGTACAAAGTAAATTCAACAGAAAAGAATAACAAAGAAGGAATATTAACAAGAATGCATAGGATGAGCACTGCAAATATGGAAAGGCTGCCAACCCAAAGATAAAGGGCTATTAACCCTGGAGTCAGCACATGGCACTTCAGGCAACTGCCACACATATTAAAGAATACAACAGACATACATGTTTTGCTACCAGGTGCTTAGGAGCATACCGGGAAACTGCAGCACATAAATAAGCCTTCTTTTTAATCCCTTACCAACATCCACATTGGAGTGACACATTGTCAGAGGCGCTAACAAGGGACTGCAATGGTGCCTTACATGCCTCTCACACAGCTGCTCAGAAGTGCTAAGTAGCAAGAATTAAAAAAAAACATTATTGAAGGGGCTTGCACTGAGCTAGGTGGTTCCCCTTTTTAGTTTTGCTTCCCAATGCTGACAAGTATGCCGGGTAGCTGTGTCTTTAACATAACATCATAACATAACATAACCTAACATAACATAACATTATGTTAGAGACATTCCCAGTGTCTCTAACATAACGTAAGAGTGGCTTAGTACATTCCCTTCTTACTGCCCTTAGCATAGCATTGTTACACTGGGGGCAGGAAGCCGGACTAAAAGAGTGTTCACTGGTTTAGTGCAACTGCTCAGTCTCTCAGCTGCAAGGTACTTGAGAGCTGGCTTTTAATGCCCTTCTTGATGCACAAGATAACAGCTATCTACACCCCATCACTCAACAGACAAAGCCACCTTAAGTGGGCTATACCACCAGAGCACTGTGCCCAAGGGAACACTTGCAGTAGCCATATAACCATATTCTGTGAAACAGTGTTCAAATGAAAGACTAATCTGAGAAACTAGTTCCCCTGACATAGCCTTCCCCAACTGAGTACTGGGACCCCAGTTCCTAACATCTGCAATCAGAAAGGCTAATGATTGTGCTGGCTGGAAATGTTAAACATCGTAGTCCAACACATCTAGGCAGACCAGACTGGAGAAGGCTGATCTTCAGCGTGATCATTTTTTACCATCTCAATTATCTGATTAGGATAATGGATTCAGGAGATTCTTTTCTCCTCTGCCACCAGCATGAGCAGTATAAAACCTCACAATGCTGGTAATCTGTTTGGCAGCTGTGCATATGAAAACATAGGGAGGGACCACAGCACAGCGAGAGCACCTGTTTTGCATGTAGAAGGTTCCAGGTTGAAACCCTGGTATCTCCCATTCAATGGATCTCAAATATCAGGGCTGGGAAGGTTTCCCCTGATGAGCATCTGCCAGTCAGGGTAGCCAATTCTGTTCTAGACAGACCAATTATCCAGCTCCACTTCATATGTTCAACTACAGCACATGAACATCTATAGATGAAGGCAACACTTTTATCTTTCACTTTTTATATAGATCTTCACTTGAGACTGAGACACATAGTAAATTATTAATTTCAGGTTTAATAAAATGCAGCATTAAAGTGATTTTTTCTTTATTGGAAAACTTGCCTTACAGACTTTGGAAGTGAACTTCATGTTGATTAACTGTGTTTCCAATTAGTTATTAGCATGCCAGTTCATATGTTATTTCAGTAGGGCAATCTATATCACTTTGATGAAAACCATGATGAGAACAAATCTTGCATTCCACTAATGCAACATTTGTTTCACCTGCAACTCAGACAAGATTAAGATATTCACACAATTTTTCTCTGTGACAAACCATGGGTAACTTTCTTTCCCAATCTCTTTTTCTTACGCTGACAAATAACCAGGATTTGCTTGCAAACAAGTCCTTTCCACAGAAGCGTCTAATTTACTGAAAATGCACCACTTTTTAAGGACAGAGACTATAAAGGGAAACAACCATATTCTGTCCAAAAGAGATTTTTATTTAAATATTTCATAGGACTTTGGTTAAAAAAAGTACTAGTATCAATGTATCCCCAAATTCCCTAGTGCCTACCTGTAACTTAGAACACAATCCTAATACTCTTGCAACAGACTGAAAGCCTCCAAATTCAGAGGCTTATGAGCATCTAATGCAAGGTACAGCAGTGGCTTCACACCCTGCATTTATCTAGAGGTGCATTTTTGGCCACTTAGATTTAGGGCTGACAAGGGGCAGGAAAGAAAACCAGGATGCTGATACAAACTGGTGAAACTCTGCAACCCCAGCCTCTTCTCTTGTCTTCCAGCAGCCCCCCTTCATCTCCTTCCAAGGCCCAGCTGTAATTTTGAAGAATGGGAATCAATGTGGTTCTTTCCCTGCCTGCTGCAGCTGGGGGGCGGGTGGATGAGAGCTCAGATTCTGAAGAATCCTGTTGTCTGACAGATGATGTCAGGAGAGCTCAGACCTGCACCCTTGTAAGTTTTGATAAACTGTAGTGTAGAAAAGTTCAGTAAAAATAAAAAAAAATCTTTCATTTCTACTATCTGATTAAAACAGTGGAATCTACAATACCATGTAAGTCATTCAAACTATCTTTTCTGCTATACACTGATCTTTTTCCTGCTGAACCTTCATCTTAAATCCATGAATATGATGCTGGAATATAATTGTGGCAATATACCCATCTCTCCGCATGCTGAGGTGTCCTACTCAGCAATATTAACATGCAAACAGTTGTTTGAACTTGAAACCAATGAAAACCTTTTAATTATTATTAACCTTTTAATTATTTTGGATAAAAGTATTCAGTAGATTAACCTAAAACCATTAACTTAAAAAAACCCACCAGATAAAATGATTGTTTTATTTTGAGCGCATAGCAATGCTTTTAATGTGGCTGTGACTTTTAAGCCACACATGCACTTCTTTTATAATAGATACAAAGGAGAGCTTATGTGTATTCTTACCAAGGCAATATCACCAGAGGTGCTATAACTATTCAAGGAAATGAAATGCATACTTAAAGAAACATTACACCTTAAGTTTCCCAATCTGTGCAAGGTAGGTTCTCATCCTCATCTTCAGACTCTGGTGATGCCTCTTTAATTCGTCGTAGTGCTTCATGGATGCTGCGGGTCAAAGGATCATCATCAGGTAAAACTGTAAAAGATTCTCTCATAATGTCCTTTTGCACCTTCTTCAGTTTCACGCCTTTTCTTATCTGTGCCAAGATATTATTGCTGTCATCTTCATCAGGGAAAGGAGGGAGATTTCTGTGTTCAACTTTCCTCAGGTGGAAGCTACCACGCTTCAAGGAAGCCAAAACTTCATCCATTGGGGAACTCACTGCAGTAAATCAGAGGATTCTTTAAATCTAATTTTACAGATTACAACTCAAGCACACCAAATTATGCACACCAAAATCAAATAGCATTTCTGGCAGGTAGACAAAATTTTAAAGGTTTCACAATCACATTCATCAAACCCAAAGGAGCAGAATAAGGCACAATTCAAAAGGGCGCATGATGTTATTCGTAGCAGATGAGTTCTCACCACTTTTAATGTTTACTCTTTCCATCAAAACCCACAGATCAGCTAAGCCACCATTCTCTACTGGCAGCACTATGGATACCCTGTTCCTAAAATAAATGTTCTGTGAAAAAAGAAAGGCAAAGTTCTGTAGCCTGTATAAATTATGCACATTAGCATACATTCATTATTTTGGGTGGTTCATTCTTCAGATAATGGTTTACTGGAGTGAAGATATATGCAGGGTGCTGACACTGTAATTGTTCATTCAATTAATTAAATTACTTATATAACAACTTTCTAGTCATACAACATGGCTTACAACCCAGTAATAAAAAACAGCAAAAATACCACCCAGAAAATTCTGAAGTTTTCAGTTGTTCCATTAGCTCTAGGTGTGACAAAAAAGAGACATCTGTACCAAGGCACAAACTACTTTTGATCACTTTCAAGCAAGGGTTTTAGCCATCTGTCCTGGCAAATATTATTAAGGAAACAAAACCTAAAGCTCCCCTTGGTGTGCAGAACTAGTGTAGTCTTTTGAATCCTGGCCATTATCATTAACTACTGTTATTACTCAAAGTAAAAGTCAACAGGAGAACAAATAGATCACTGTCTTTTTTTTTTTAATTAAAGAAACAAAAAAAATTACCTCTCCTCCTCTGCAAACCTTCAATATCACCAGTCTTCTTCAGTTTCTTCTTGGCACTGACTAGCTGACTGCTATCAAAGAAATGAGCTGATGGTGCGATGGTGGTTGGTAGGATTGGCTTTTCCATGCTTTCTTGTTTAACTGGGCTACTGTTTTTTTCAGAGCACTGAGTAGCTTCTTCCTTAGTAGGCAGAGGTGGCGGTGGCGGTGGTGGCAAAGGAAGAGGAAGAGAAAGTGGAGTCTCCTGAACTGTATCAGGATGAAGTTCATTACTGACAACAGTTGGAAGAGAAGTAGTTTGAGAAAATTCAGTGGTAACACCACAGGGAGGTAAAAAAGTATCTTCAAGTTGTCCTAAGCTGCTGGGCTCCTGAATATGTAAAGGTTGAATCACTTTTTCTTGTCCCACCCTATCAACTTGCATAGTTACTGGTGAAGACAGGGAGTGATCAGCACATGATGCTGAAGTGGCTGCATTTTTTCTTCTTGCATGGGCCAATCGAAGTCTAGTTGATTTGAGTATAACCTGTCCAGGGTAACGCTTAGGAGGAAGAAAATGAATTAAAATTATACAAGGATAGATAAATCTTTCTGATACTGGAAAGCCTAACATTTTCTTCTAAAATATTGCAACAATAAAATATTTATATACACCATATCTAAAAGCACCAGGAAGTCTAGCTGAGAAATCAGGCATAAAACCCACAATCACAACTTTGGAACCACTTCTTGGAATGCCTGAGACTTTAAAACACTGTGCTTTCAATTCTTTTTTCTCTGTTTGCTAATCTAGTGAAATAGGAAGAACCAGTATACCCAAGTTTGGGTTCTTAAAACCCGTTAGTTCTAAGCTGGTGTGCATTTTCTATTTCTGTAGAATTAACATAATTTGTATTAACATGGCAAGCTAATTGCTCAATTCATTCACAATCTCCCAACTATCTTGGTGAACAAGAGCCATTATTGTTAGTTCCAATTTCACAAAATATCATGATTCAACCTTATTAAAAAGCAAATTGATTTGGGAGCTGAGAATATAATATGTGGACTTGCATTTTAATGATGCTATCATGTCTTAAGAACCTATGCAAAGTAAAAACTTTCTAAAGTCTTCATATCTTTGAAAGATGGCAATGCACACAAACGTACCTCAAGCCATATGAAGTCCACAGAAAAACAAACATCTATTATAGAACTTCAGAATCCCACCTTTCTGCAGACAAGTAGAAATTATCTTAAGAATTATTCCCAATTTTCCCTTCCCACTCCCCCTTGTAAATATGTAGTTTAAATATCTGCCTCCATATACATACAAAAGAAAATCATACATAATTCAGGGCTCCTACTGCAAAAAGGTGCAATTACAGATTACAGGTGCATGACCACTATTTTTTGAAACATTGGTGAGATGGCCACCTTCTTTGGATTACCTGTTTAAATGTTCGAAGTCTGTCCAGTGTTTTCTGCCGTTCCTGACTGACCCATGAGCTTTTCCTTTCTTCCTCATCTTGCAACTGTTCTTTTTTCTGATAATAAAAAATGAAAAGGTAAGACAGACAGGAACCGTAGTCTAGGATGAAGGAATTTGGATGAAATAACTTCCCCTTGCTATAGCCTTTTCCCACATAGCTTAATAAACCACAAAGGGCTTACACCTTGCTCTTTAATAAATGGTATGAGTGGTAGTTAAAGCTCAGGGCATTCAGAAGATGCCTGCAGGAATACAGGACTGCTTGTGGAGGCCTGTCACTCCATCCAGTACCCCTGTTTGAAAAAAAAGAACACAGGAATTTGGAAGGAAGAGTAAATGGCTTTGAGTTGACAATTACAGATTGAAAAATGAAGGGGGCATATGAAAGAATGAAGGGAAGCAAAATGAGTTTTAATCGCAAGGGGAAATATCTGAAGTTGAAACTGAAAGATATTCAGAGTTACTTTTACTAGGTTATTTAAATCCATTAAAGGTGCAATTCTTTGGTTTTCAGACATTGTATTTTTTGGGGAAGGGAGGGATAAGATTATTTGGACCTGTGATTGTAAAAGCCAGGCCCCAGCCTCACTCACCTCATATCCAATGTAGAAACAACTAGGATCAGCTGCCTCTCCAGGGTCCAAAATCAGCCTTAAAGAGGAGGAAAAGGGGCATGCCAGGGGCAAGGTGGGGAGGAGGGGCCAATGTCATGTTGTATTCAAATGTCCCAGCCACCTTCCTTCCCACTCCATTGCACTTAATGTGAATGGCCAAAAACAGCAGCTAAGATGAAGTACAGGGTGTAAGGTGTGGCGCACCAGAAAACAGTGGTGGACCCAAGCACTAGAAGCTTCTGTGTTGGAAGTCTTATGTGTATCAAGAGCAGAGAGCACTGGATTGCATCCTTAAGCAGATTGCATCTTTAAACAGAAGATATTCTAGAATTCCTAGCATGTCCCAGCTAGCCATGTCTGGCCAACAGAAGCCAGGAATTGTAGGGATTTTTCATCTCAACATGCATAGAATTCACCCTAAATTAATGTTAATACTTTTGTCTAAAATATTTATCCACCATTTTCTAAAACAAAAATGTTGAAGAGCAGCTATATCACCTCTAGTAGATGAACACTTGGGCAGCTGCAGTGAGTAAGTAAAAAACATTTGTACTGCATGCATCTTTTAACTATTTCCAGTGTTGGAAATAAAATAATTATCAATTCTGCTATTGAACTGGTCTTACCCTAGAATTTCTGAAAGCAAGATTTTGAAAATATAAACTAACATCAAAATGTGCTGTTATATATCATGTTTACTTTTGGTTATCATTGCTTTGTATTTCATACTTTAATGGTCGAAGTTAACAGTTTAAATATATATCCATATATTTTTTAAAATGGTAGCTAATGATAAGGACTGAACTGTGAATCAACAGGTAAAATCAAAAGGCTTAAGACTGTTCCTCCAAAGACTGAAACTAGCAGCATTCAAATTATGCAATAGCTTTTTGGACATACTGTATTTCATTAAACAGTTGCCAATACCGAATACTGTTCTGATTACTTTGTAATAAGAGCAGGACTAGCCCAGAGAGGCAAATTAGGACACCAACTGAGGAGCCAAAATGCAAGAACACTCAGTGTCTCCAAGAGAGTAAGTTGATGCCTGTACGTCTGGATTTTCATGTAATGCTTATCCTCATTATCTATGTGGCTCAGAAACCCAGGGGGCAAGGAGCGTTTAGACCCAGTTAGGTAATGTGGAACACAACAGTTTAATTGTTAAATTGCTGAAGATAAAAATAAAATTAAAAAAGTATCTTAGTCATCTCTTAGTAATTTAGTAACATTATTATGCTGTTTAGTATCAAGTAAGACTCAAGTGTGAGGGTAACATTTGCTTAGGTCAGCAAAAATTTTGTGTTTGCTTATTTAAATTTTAACATATATTGAAGTAGACCTGGACTAGCACTATTGTCACTTTGTCACTATTTAGAGAACAAGTGGGTCAAAACATTAAGCACTGATGACAACTTTAGTAACAACAGTAATAACAGCAAGGAACTGGGAAGTAAAAGGTGATTATCACATAAATGGTATAAAGAAGTTTGGAATATACCTAACATACCTTTGGATAAGTTAACTGGTGATATTTAGTGGAAGCAAGGCTTAGTAAGTAAAAATAATTTTGAAGATATTTGGAGACTGTTTATTGGATATGTTTTAGTAAAGGGAAGGGGATGTGAGCCGTTACAAGATTCAATGTAAAGGGAATGGGAGTGGAGCAACCTGAATGAATAAATGATTTTACAATAAGTATCATGTATTTGTTGGTCTTGGTGGAAGTTAGCATTGTTATTACTGTATTGAATAGTTATTTTCATCATTATGTTATCTGTAATGTTTTATATTTGTGTAAACTATGAGTTTTGTTTTTGTTAAAATAAAATTTAAAAATATTTAACATAGACCAAACTCACAAACTTGGCTGTATGCTGCAGTTCCTCTTCACTTTGAAAATGTTGCAAGAATTTTTCACTATGTTTTGCAATGCAGATTTCCTATAGAGACACAAAAGGTTTCATTACAAAATGGAATTCAGTACCAATTAAACATGATTTTAGAGAGCAATCCTGTCTTCATTTGAGACTAGCTGAAGGTACACAGGAATCAAAATGTGTGTGCTTCCATCACCTTGCTGGCAGGACAACACCTGTAATATCTAAGCCCCCACAACCCCACACCTGACCACAGAAAATTATGCCAGAGGAATATACTTTGTTTGGAGTTATTAATCAGTTATTAAGCCATTGAATGACAGCTAAATACTGAAACTACAAACTACTGAAACTGCCCGGGAGAACCAGCGCGCCAGACGGGGCCCACCTCCTTCTGCGCCGCCCGGACCATCGCGTTGCCGCTCTGCAGCGATGCCGCACGCGGCCGCCGGCTGCCACGCCGCCCTGCCAGAGGCCAGGACCACTAGCCCAGGACCCGGCTCCGGCCTGCTTCCCACTCACAGGTGAGAGACGCGCCGGGAGGGGGTGGAACTCGGGGAGGGCCCTGCAGCCCAAAAAGCGCCGGCGGCGGCCGGCGGCCAAAGGGTGATGGCCAAAGGGCAGTCGCCGCCATTGGGGAGCCATTTGGGGGCCGAGCAGGGGGCTGGGCTGGCCAGGGGCCATGTTTTAATTGGACCACCTGCCACGCCACGCTGTTGCCGTCGCTGCCGCCAGACTGGGGCGCACCGCCGAGCCGGGGGCCAGCTGACACCGCTCCTGCGGCCATCGCTGGGCCACCCCGGGCACAGAGGACGCCAGGGTCACGCCATCTTGTCACCGGACGGATTTCCGCGCCCCTCCCTGCTCCCCCCCGCCATTGCTGGTGAGAGCAATGCCGGATTGGGGTGGGGCACACGGGCGGGCGCCGGCTTGACCCGCCAGACGTGGCCTGGGGCTGGATGGGCTTGGAGCTCCCTCTCCCCACCGAACATCTGCCGTGGTCCGCAGCTTGGACCACCTGCCGCGCCGCGCTGTCGCTGGACTGGGGAGCACCGCCAAGGGAAATGGGAAGCTTTTGATTGTTTTTATAATTTTATTGTATTTTAATTTGTTTTTAATTTGTTTTTACGGAGTTGTCCCTGGCCATGTCGACGTTTGTGTTTTCTGGGGAGTCTGTGGGCGCTGCCATTGGGGTGATCATGGGCAATGGACGTTACAGAGGTGGGGGCTTAACATGTCCGCGTAGAAGGAGGGACAGATGGCTGACACCTGTTCCTCCTGGTTTTGCCTCCAACCAGAGGGTTCCAGGTATAGTCGTGTCAACCGCCCCTCGGGCCCGACAGTGCTGCTGCTCAATGCCAGGTCGGTCAACAATAAATCTTCCCTCATCCATGACTTGATTGTGGATGAGGGGGCCGACCTGGCTTGCATAACGGAGACCTGGGCGGGAGGGGAGGGGATGCCATCCTCTCTCAAATGTGCCCGCCCGGGTATCTGGTTCAGCACCGTTCACGCCCAGAGGGGAGGGGGGGTCGCTTTGGTTTACCGAGCCTCCATCTCCCTCACGGGACTTCCGGTCCCTTTGAGACCAGGGCTGGAGTGCCTCTACTTGGTGTTGGGCAACCGAGACAGATTGGGGATTCTGTTGGTGTACCGTGCACCCTTCTGCCCAACAGTCTCCCTGCCTGAGC